AAAACAAAAGGTGTTGGAACTCAAACCAAACTCATTCGTCATTTTAGTTGGTAAAAAAAACTTTTGTAATTGTGATAATATCTTAGGTTTTGTCAGTTTATTTTGATTACACCAATTGTTAAGTTTTATGGATTTCAAACTCAAAAATAATACGAAATCTCATGATTCTTTTTTTATATTTGATGTAGGATATTTTTTACACTTTTTCCGATATAATCCATACCAATTAGTCTTAACAAAATCTTAACATAGAATTAATTTTTGGATCATCTCTAGAATAAATACGATACTAATTAAATTTCATGAATTTCAAAATTCAATACCAATTAACAATAAATGAATTTGTTCATATCTTTTATTCATCGCTTAAGTTTTTTTTTCATTTTCCGTTTTCCTTCTATTTTTGATGTTGAATATTCTTCGCACTAATCTGCCTATATGAACGACTTCGGTTTACAAGAAAACCTGTCAAAGTAAAACCGACTCTTATATCGGGTCATCCGGTTTGATTGATGTTAGCTTCGGTTTATTTGTGTATCTACTATCCAAAAGCCAATTTATTGACCGTCAATTTAGAGTAAAGGTTCAAAACCAGTACGTGGATAATGCTATTAGTCATTGACTAGTGAGAACGAGAAGGATGACTTTTGTAGTGTTACTTTTTACAATTTGATCAAATCACTATTTTTCCAAATAAACAGCGTCAAACCCAAAAGGTGTTTTGAGATTACGGACAATACGACGCACTACTTTGTTTTTGAGAAATTGGCATGTGTTGGAGAAGTTTCTTCGTATTTGACCACAACCCAATTGATTTAGTTGGTAGGTGATGATATAAATATAATACTACTTATTGGCTTATTGCTATGGTTCTCTCACCATTTCCACATTAAAAAACACATGCGTATACTACTTATTTTATTTTTTTTGTATACTACTTATACATTACCTATGCATTGTGTAGTCCACGTATTTCTTTCACGCACACTATTTTTATGTCTCAGTGTTGTTCACATTTTTGTTTTCACTTTTCAGTATACGAAAAAGAAAAATTGTTGTTATTATTTAGTGTGTTGAAAAAAATATGCTAAATGAAAACTTTTAGCAATTTTTCCCTCTTACGAAGAAATTTCTTTTTGTTTGTGGTGGTGGAGGTGGCTAATGTACACAATTCCATATTGAATTCCTACAAAATGGTCCCAACAAGAAATGTTTTGAAATTTTTTTAGAAATATCATTTTTTAATGCCATTTTTAAAAAAATATTGTTTTTTGAAATCTTTACAAAAATGCCAATTTTTCAAAATCCTTTACTCAATATATCATTTATGTTTGAGTTAACTATGTTATATTAGGGTTTAGTTTTGAAAGTTTAAGACTTGTTTGAAGTCAAAACCTTTTTTAGGGTACATAATTTTAAGATTTATGGTAAAAAAGTATTTAGTGGCATTTTTGCAAATGGACAACCAATAATAGTATTTTTGCAATAACTCCAATGTTTTTTGTATTGCTTATATGTGGT